TAGCAATGCATGTTGGTCAAGCACGCCTCTTGACGAGAGTGTAGGATCGAAAAGTGCAATTTGCTCCACACTCGAGGATTGGCTCGCGGATAGTGGTTTTTCATTGGATGCAAAGTGGTTGCATCTCGTCATCGGATTGGCCAGCAGAAAAATAGCATACTGAAGTTTCACAATTCTCGGAACCGACACGAGCAAGCATGGCCGAGCGGGCGCGGCTCGGCGACGTCGGGGGCTCATCGACGCTAGGCGGCCGGGACTCGACGTACCTCCAGGACCAAGTGCGGACGCTGCAGATCCAGGGCGACTACTATGCGCGCAAGGTCGAGATCGAGAAGCGTCGCGGCGACGAGCTCGACAAGCAGCTCAAGGTCGCCCACATCTCTTCTACGTGCATGGCGTGACGCCGACGATAGACGTACCGCGAGACGCACAACGAGACGCGCCGCATGATGAGTGCGAGCACGCCGCCCGCGGCCAAGGCGCCGCTCGACACGGCGTCGGACCAAAAGTCGCTCCGCGTCTTGGAGAACCGGCTGGAAAAAGTGCTCATTCGCCTCAACGAAGCCGTGCGCCCGTGGCTATTCCGACTACGTACTTATATATCGACTAGTGCAACGCCAACAAGAAGCTCCGGGAGCAAATCCAAAATTTACGCCGCGAGAAGGTCCAGCAGCAGCAGATCCACGAAAAGCTCGATCGCGAGCTGCACACCAAGGCGCAGGACGTCACCAAGACGAGTCAGCTCACACAGAGCATCTTTGACGCACGGGACCGCGCGCAGCGCCAGGTCGAGGCGCTCCGCGCGCAGGCAGCTGAGGAAAGCGCGCGCTTTGAAGCCGATTGGAACGAGCGCCGAGAGGTGATCGAAGTCGACCGCATGACGATGCGTTCGATCCAGAACCACGGCTCCATGTTCGCACAATGCGACGACGAGGACGATGGCAGCCGTAGCAACGGAACGCCAGACGCCAAGCTTCGAGACGACACGATGAAGGCGTCGTGGCTCATTGCCGCCAAGGACGCCGACTTGCGCAAGCAAACCGAGCGGCTCAAAGCGTACGAAGACGGTCTCGCCAAGGTGCGCAAGAAGACAGGCATCAAGGACATTGGCGAGCTCGCGAGCGCGCTCCTCGCCGCAGAAGAGAAGAACTTTTCGCTCTTCAACATGATCAACGAGCTCAACACCGAGATGGAGTCGGTCGAGATCGAGAACAACCGGTTCCAGGACATGATCAACGAAGTGCAGGGCTGTGGCTCGGACCTCAACCGCGCACGCATCAAAGCGAGTCTCGAAGCGCAGATTGAAAAGTCCCATGTCAAGGCCACGCACTTTGAAGCGCGCGCCGCCGAGTCGAACGCGGTCATCGAGTCGATCAAGGCCGGCGCGATGAACATCTTTCACAAGATCGGCTACAACGACGAAGCCTTGCTCCAGCAGCTCAACTCGACCGGTCTCACCGACATCAACATGCTCAAGTTCCTCGGTATCATCGAAAAGCGCATCGGCGAAATCGTCCAGATGCACAATATCGTGTACACGCAGTCATCCAGCGGCAGCAAACTCGACTTGACGCTCGACCTCGCGCCCCACAAAGGCCCCGTGAAGCGCGGGAACGGCAACCTCGGCGCGCACGAGTACCACCCGATGCCGCCGGCGGCCGACGACTTTGTCGACGACGACTCGGACGACTCGGACGAGCTCATCAAGCCGTGCACGCTGGCCGAGATACAAGAAAAGGCGGCGGCTGCAATAGGCAAGCGAAAAGACAAGCCGCGCCAAAAGCGGTGAGTGTACATATACAATAATGCAACGTGAACACACCGTGGGTTGGTTGCTCAAGTTGCCATGTACCTGCGCACGCAGCGTCCCTAGCAGCATGCGTGTCGATTGCAGGCTTGGATGCTTGGATCAAGCTACACTGGTGGGCTTAGCTTGAAGGCGTTTCTAGTTATTATTCCAAAACCGATATATTCTGATTCTGAACTATCGAGGTTAGGGTCCTACTGTACACGTCGGGTGGTCGACTAGGCTTCGTCGTCGTACGCGACCGTCGACGCGGGCTCGATGTGGCTCATGAAGACATGCTGGATACAAGGTGCCAAGCGCTGAAACGCCTCTCGAACAGTCTCGGGTTGGAATACATTGTCCTGGAGGTTCAACTCGTCGATCAGATGCGCGTCCGACGACCACTTGAGCTGCGATGCCTTGCGCTTGCGTCCGGACGTGGCTGCTACAAGGCTACGGAGCCCGTCGTCGCTGAGTAAGTTGCCGCGCAGATCCACGGCCTCAAATGGCACCAACGCCGCGCGCTGTACTAGCGCGCAGAAGACAGCGACTGCCCCTTGGTTCCGCAGCCGGTTCTCGCCGAGCGATAGGCGTCGCAGCGTGCGATTGGACGCCAACGCAACCAGAAACGGTGATGGCGGCGTGTCACCAAGACCGATCGAGCTCAGGTGAAGCGTGTGGACGACCGTGTTGCTCGCGATGAAGGCACTCAATTCCGTCCCAAACGCAGGGCCAACGAAGTTGCGACTGAGATTGAGCGTCGCGATGTGGGCTTGGGTCGTAATCGCTGGCAAGAGCACCGCCGCGCCGACGTCCGTGATGGTGCAGTTGACGAGGTAGAGCGCTGTCAAGTTGGTCAAGTGCGGCAAGACGTCCGTTGCCAACTGAGACGCCCCAGCGTCGCCCAGTTCGTTGCTGCTCAGATCCAACGACAGCAGCTGGCGGCAATGCGCGACGGGACCGATGTTGGTGAGGCAGTTGTGCGCCAGTGACACGTGCTTGAGATTCGACGGTTCCGTCAAGTCGTCAAGCGCTTCGTCTTCGAGCTCGTTGAACTGCAGCACGAGGGTATCAAGCGCGCGACTGCCGCAGGCGACAAGCGCATTGACGCCGGCAACGTCCGTGACCGAGTTGTTGAGGCGCAGACGGCATAACCTCGAGCCGCCATCACGTTGAAAAGACGCCACAATCTCTCGAAGCGCTATCGGCGACATCTTGACGGACGAGAAACCAAGCACATCGATGGGGTGGCCACGCCGCCGAGCCATCGCCGCAAGGAGCGGCGCGACAGTGGGCAGCTTGCTGTGAAGAAGACAGACCTCGCGCAGCGCTGGCAGCGTCTCAATGAGCTCGCTTAGAAGGCGCCATAGGTCGTCCGAGACCTGGGCGTGGTGCAGCTCGAGGCGCTCGATGCTGGGCAGCGACAAAAGCACGTCGACGTTGGCGCGCGTCATTTCCCGTCCGCGAACCTTGACCTGGTGGACGACACCGCTGAAGAGGGCAAGTGGAACGTCGTCAGCGCTCGCTGCGGCGCCGGCGACGTGGTCCATATCGTGCTCGACGAGCCGCTTCCGGAATTGGTGCTCCCAGTACGCGCGCCGGTAGCACGTGGTGACCCGCGTTGTGGCAATGAACGTCGTCGCCTCGGACGCGTTGTCAAAGTACTTGCTCGAGTCCAGCTTGTGGTTGAGGCTCCGGACATCGCGGCGAATGCGCTCTCGCCACTGTGCTTGCAGTGCTTCCAGGAGGGCAACGGCGTCGTCGGGACAGGCCGACGGCAGCGCGAGCTCGAACTTGCGCAGTCTCTTTGCCGACATGTGTGCCCAGACGCGCTCGATGGCCTCGGTTGGCAGCCATGCCACTGCGGCCGCGATCTCGTCGACAGCGCAGCTCGCAGCGGCTTGCGTGGCGCAGAGCTCAACCAGCGACGGCGTGCCAAGCATGAGGAGGTGTTTTAAACACAGTGTGTAGCCTAGGATAAAAACACGCAACTGGACGCCAACGGGTTTGCCGTGGGGTCCTGGTTTCCAAACGCAACAAAACTACAAACTAGATGTGGTCAACTACTGATACCTAGATAGCATTGTATGCAGTAGTGAGCGAAAGACTGGTACACTCCGTTGAATTGAAAAAATCTGGTGAAAACGATACCAAACTCGCTCCTTGTGAGGTGCGACTACCTCCCAAACGTAGGGGCTGGTCTGTGAACACTAGATACACGCCGCTTCCTTTCTACTAGGGTCTCGAAACTCTTGATGGACCCTTGCTTTCTATGGCGTTCGTCGGTCTTCAGCGTCGTGCAAGCGCTGAGCACGTCCACGAGACTCAAGAGTGATGTTCATGAACGAATGCATGTGGCTAGGATCCCCAGTGGAACGTTCCAGTCTTGGTTCCATTGATGTTGACACGCTGACATTGCAATCGTCCGTCGGACAATTCTGTCATAGGCACTGTGTGAGCACAAGCCACTCTTGAGTTTGCATCATGACAGCCACAAGAACAAAGTACGCTACCTTTGCGACGCCTGCGCCAGCGCACCCGGCTCGCTCGGCCAGCGCGGTTTCCCGTGCATTCTTTGCCTGGGCGCTACCGCTCATCTGCACGCCGCGCCAGCTGCATCTCGACGACGTGTGGCCCCTCGCACCCGAGACCACGTGCAGTGTCAATGCGGCGCCGCTCGCTGAGGCGTACGCCGCGTCGTCGTCGGTCGTCTCGGCGTTTCTGCGCGTGTATGGCTGGTCGTACTTTTGGATGGGACTGCTGGGCTTGCTATTGCGACTGATGGAACTCGCGGGACCCATGGTCTTGAACCAAGTCGTCGGCGCTGTCGACGCGCCGTCCACGCTGTACCAATCGGTGGGCCTCCTCTTTCTCTCGATGACGTCGCATGCGTTCCTCTATGCGCACTGCGTCGTCCTCGAAGAAACCACAGTCCTGAGGTACGCTGCCTTCCAATGAAGATTCGAAGTGACGTTGTACTAGCTTTACGTCGGGCCTGAAGGGTCTTTTGTTCCAGAAGCTCCAACGACGCAGCCTGCTCGTCCAGGACGCGCCGGAACTCGCCAACCTCTACACTGCGGACCTTGAAACGGTCGAGTGGGGATTCCTCTCGCTTCTCAACGCTTGGATCTACCCGTGCCAGATCGCATGCATTGTGTACTTGCTCTACCGCGAAATCGGCGCTGCGGTCTTTGCTGGCATCGCCGTCATCGTCCTCGCCATGACGATCGCTGGCTACATCTCGACGGTCGAAGCGACTGCGTACGACAACATTAGCACAGCTCGGGATGCGCGCATGAAGGCCGTCAAGGAGACATTTGGCTCCGTCCTCGTTCTCAAGCTTCAGGCGTGGGAGAACCAAGTGGCGGCCAAGCTCTCGACGCTCCGCTACACTGGTACCTACCATCTCTCTTCTCTCGCAACGTTTAGCATACTTGTTGTAGAGCTGCTGTACGTCTGGCACTTATTGCGCGCGGGCGCGGGCGGGACGTTGTGCATGTACGCTGCCCCATTGGGCGTCTCGGTCGCCTCGTTCGTCTGCTACACGCTGGTGCTTGGACACGCGCTGACGCCGGCCAAAGTCTTTACGTCCATTGCTCTCTTCCGCATGCTGCAAGAGCCGATGACGCAAGCCCCGGACAACATTACGGCTGCCATCGAAGGCTGGACTGCGATTCGCCGCATCGGTGAATTCCTTGGTCAGCCCGAGAAGCCGGCGGCGCCTCCTGTCTTGCCCACGCCCCGCGAGGTGCGAGCCTTCGTCTTGTATGGGCTTGGTCTTATGCAGTCTCTACTAGGTGGTCATGGCCATGGAAGCAGTGGATGCGTCGTGGGACAACACCACTGTCCATCTCGCCAAGCTCCAACTGAGTGTTCGCAGAGGCGATTTGGTGGTTGTCCACGGCAAGGTCGGCAGTGGCAAGTCGTCGTTGTGCTTGGCGCTGCTCGGCGAGATGCATGTCCTCTCTGGCCGGATGGCGGTCCATGGGCGCATTGCCTACTGCCCCCAAGAGCCGTGGATCCAGCACATGAGTCTCCGCGACAACATCCTCTTTGGTCGGCCGTTCGAAGCGGACCGGTACGCTTCCGTCGTCAACGCGTGCGGCCTCGTCGCTGACTTTGCCCAAATGACATTTGGTGACCGTACGCTCGCCAGCGCCAAGGGCGCCAACCTCAGCGGCGGTCAAAAAGCTCGCCTCGGTCTCGCTCGCGCTGTCTACAGCGACGCCGACATCCTTCTCCTGGACGCACCCTTGGCCGCCATTGACGCGGTCGTGCAAAAAGAGATTCTCGTACGTCTCTCGAATCAAAGGTTGCGATGTTATTGTGGATCTAGACCAAGTGTATTTTGTCACTTCTCGCGACCAAAACCGTGGTGCTCGTCACGCACAACCGCGACATCATCGACTCGGCGCACGTCAACCAAGTCGTCGAGATGCACGATGGCGCGATCGTAGCTTGTGCGCAGCGCTTGCCGTCGGCGCCGCCAGGCCCGCTCCATGCCGTCGCGCCAGAGATCGCCGTCGCCGCCAGCGACCACTGGGACACGTACTTTCAGGACGCAATGGAGGCCGAGACCGAGGACGACGAGCACCGCGAAGAGGGCCAGGTCGCGGGCCACGTTTTTACTCAGTTTTTGACGGCGTGCGGTGGCGCGCCCACGATCGCGCTTCTTCTTGGGAGTCAGCTGCTTTGGCAGGCGTTCCAGGTCGCGAGCGACGTGTGGCTCAGTCACTGGACTTCAACGGCCGAGGCCAACGATGATGCTGCGTACTACCTCGGCGTCTACGGCAGCCTCTGCTTGGCCAGCATGCTCATGGTGCTCGTGCGTGCCATCACGATCGCAACGGCCAGTCTCCATGCCTCCAAGGGCCTCTTTGAGCGACTGACGGCGTCGCTCTTGCGGGCACCCATGTCGTTTTTCGACAAAACGCCCAGTGGTCGCATCCTCAACCGGTACGGCGATGACATGGCGAGCATCGACACGCAGCTGCCGTTCAACTACGGCTCGATTACTGCTTTTGCGGCCATCCTTGTCGCGTCGTTGGCTACGTCCATTTATGCCGTACGTACAGTCTCCCACTGCGGTGATGTCATGATTTGGAATAGGTGCGCTGGGCGGGTCTCTGCTTCATCCCGATCTTTGTTCTCTACTTCAAGCTCACGGCCTTGTACCTCCGGCCGTCGCGGGACCTCTCTCGCCTTGCCAAGACCACCGACTCGCCCGTGCTGAGCTTTCTCGACGAAATCGAACACGGTACGACCGTCATCGCCTAAATTCTCATGTCTCATGCACGAGGATTAGGGTTTGTGACAGTGCGCGCGTTTGGCGACGTGTACACGGCCAAGCAAGCGGCACGCCACGCCCACCACGTCGACATGAACATGCGCGTTGCGCTCGCCAAGATCATTGTCGACGAGTGGTTCGAGCTCATGGTGCAGCTCTCTGGCACGGCCGTCGTCATGGTTGTCGCCCTCAGCCTTGTTTACTTGCGCTCGTATCTCTCGGCAGGCACGGTCGGTCTCGCGTTCAACTACATTTTGGTCGCCAACGCGCATTTGGCCGCCCTTGTCCAGGGCTGGTCGCGCCTGGAGCTCAACATGGTGTCGCCCGAACGCGTCCTCGAGTATTGCGACGTGCCGTCCGAAGACGACGTAGTACCAACGTCCCTTGTCGTGAGCGACGACTGGCACCTCGCGCGCGGCGACATTGGCTTTGCGAATGTCGCTTTTCGGTACAAACCCTCGGCCGACTTGGTGCTGCGACACGTCTCGTTTGAGATTGCGTCGGGCGAGAAGATTGGCATTGTCGGCCGCACGGGCGCCGGCAAGTCGAGTCTGGCCATGGCGCTCTTCCGGCTCTACCCGCTCGCGTGCGGTGCCATTTCTATTGACGGGCGCGACATTGCGTCTCTCTCGCTGCCCACGCTGCGTCGCCAGATCTCGATCATTCCGCAAAGCCCGATCCTCTTCAAAGGCTCGTTGCGCTCGTACTTGGATCCCTTCCACGTTGCCACCGACGACGCTCTCTACGCGGCGTTGCAAAAGGTCCAGCTCTCTGCGGCCTCGCTGCAGGACGAGGCCGGCGACAGCTGGAGCGTCGGCGAGCGTCAAATGCTGTGCTTGGCGCGAGCACTGCTTGCGCGAGCCCGGGTTGTGGTCTTGGACGAAGCGACGGCCGCGATCGATCATGCGACGGATCTCCACCTCCAAGAGGTCATTGCGACGGCTTTTCAGAGCGCTACGGTACTCACGATCGCCCACCGCCTCCACACGGTCGTCAACTCGGACCGCGTCCTCGTGCTTGAGGCGGGGCAGGTCGTTGCGTTCGGCGCCCCACGCGCGCTCGTCCAAGACACTGGCAGCGTCTTCTACAACCTCGCAAAAGACGGCGGCGTGCTGGACCTCCTCCTGCAGTAGGTGCTCCAAACGAGCGAGGAACTCGATACTACAATGAGTTGTCCCCTGCACCCTATTCCCATGTTCTCTTTAGTCATCGTTGAAGCTGGAAACAGCAATCCTTGGTCCACTACACAATACACGGCTGCCCACGTTGGCGGCGAGTCTCCACGCCACCCGTCGCTAGAGATGCAAGACCGGCGGGGAGCGACCACAGTAGTGGCGTGCCCGCTCTTGGTGCGTTTTGATTGGCGATCGGACGTGGCGCCACGTGCTGCCTTCGAAGTTCGGATCTCGAAGTGCAAATTCGCATCGGATTGTGGCTGCCACTCCACTGCTGCCACTCTGATCTTGATGATGGGCGGCTGGTGGCCATCCTACTGCGACGCGATGGACTGCGCCCACGCAGCGCTGCTGGACGGTACCGCGTGACGCCGAATCGCGTGGTCTGACTATGGCATGCGCGTCTAGGACTCGCCGTGCTCTTCATGCTCGCCTGCATGCTTCGCATGCGCACGCTCGTCGCAGGCCGCTGTGCTCGCATCGAGCGCCCGTGGCTCCGCCTCAAGTACGCGCTCGCGGTACTTCAAGTGTTTTTGTGCATTGCGTTCTTCGCCATCAACAGCATGCTGCACCGCATGACGACGCCGTCGCAGGTAGGCCCACGCAGCGTCGACCTTACGGACTTACGGATGATGCATGATGGCGTACGCCTAGGACATCAACCTGACAGCGCAAGGCGTCGCGTGGGCCTTTTATGCCGCGATCTTGCTCGACGACGGGGAGACCGCGTGGCTGCGCCTGCTCGTGGTCGCTCGCGGCGCGTTGGCAGGGCACGTGGTGTACCAATCGGGGGCACCTCGCATCGAGCGCTACGACCATGTCTGTCTCGCCAGTGTGCACAGCGCCACGCTCACTCTCGGGTGCTTGGCACTCTTGCCCGCGATGGCGCGTCGTCCTTCTGACGCAGCAAGCCCATACGATCACGCATCCTTAACGTCGCGACTGCTGTACCTCTGGGTCTCGCCCTTCGTGACGCTCGGTTTACGCCGGCGCTTTGAAATGGCCGACATTCCGCCGCTGCCGCGCGTCGACCACACGGCGTCTGCCAGCCACGCCTTCCAGTCGGCGCTTTTGCGTGAACGCCGGCGGTCGTCGCCGTCTTTTTTCCGGCTTCTCCGCCAATTGTACGGCTGGCAAGTCGTCGGGTTTGGTCTCTGGTCGGCGTGCAACAAGCTCCTTTCGCTTGCGAGTCCGTTCCTCATCAAAGTCAACCTTCGTTTGTATCAACTTCTGTTTCAATCTATCGCGTAGGAATTTCTCGAGTGGGCCGAGCACCCGACACCGTCACGCGGCTACGTGTTGGCCGGCGCCATCTGCGGCCAAGCCGTCCTCAGCGCACTCTCCGGTTCCCAATATGGTACGAAACATCCTTATATAACCATATATGGCGTATGGTCCTAGGCTTGGCGTGGACGCGCTTTGACATTCGGCTGCGCGCGGGCCTCATGGCTGCCATTTACGGCCGGACGCTCGAGCTCTCGGCAAGCGAGAAGGCCGCGCACGGCATTGGCCGTCTGACCAACTACGTGTCTGTGGACCTCGGCCGCCTCGTCGGCATGCCGGGCTCTGTGTTTGACATGGTTCTTATCCCGATGGAGATCGCGATTGCGCTCTACCTCCTCGGGCGCGAGGTCTCGTACGCGTTTGTCGCGGGACTCGTTGTGCTGGGCGTCATGCTGCCGATTCAAACGGTGCTTGGCGCGACGCTCCAACGCGTCACACGCGCCATGCTCTCCTTCCGCGACGACCGCGTCGAGTGGAGCTCGATGCTGCTCCAAGGCGTGCGCGTGCTCAAGGTAAATTCGTTGTATCAAGTTGATATTATGTTGGGCTCAAACGCGACTAGCTCTTGGCATGGACCGACGTCTACCTGGAGAAAATGCAAGCCGCGCGGTCCCTCGAGATGCAGCGTCTCCGCGTGCGCAAGTACCTCGATGCGCTCTGCGTCGTATTTTGGGCGTCGACGCCGGTCATTGTCCAGTCGTCGGTCTTTGTCGCCGTCATCTACGCAGGTCATGACCTCACGGCCGCGAATGCGTTCACAGCGATTGCGCTCCTCGACCGGCTCATCTTCCCCATGAACTACTTTCCATGGATCATCAACGGCTTCTTGGAGGCCCGCGTCTCGGCGCTGCGTCTCCGCGCCTTCCTCTTCCCGACCGCCCGTCCGTCGGCCGCCATTTTGGAGGCGCCGGACGGCGGTCGCACGACCTTCTTGTGGCGCGACTGCGAGTTTGCGTGGACGGCATCGAACGACGAGACCCGCGATCTCTCGACACCGCTCTTGACGCCCGACGCTACCATGTTCGAGGTGCGCTTGGACCATCTCACGCTGCAGAAAGGCGATGTGCTCGTGCTCACGGGGCCCGTCGGCTGCGGCAAAACGTCGCTGCTTCTGGCGCTTCTCGGCGAGATGCCGCTCGTGCACGGCGACCGCTTTGCACCCCGGGGCGCCCGCGTGTCGTATGCGCCCCAAACCCCGTGGCTCTTCCCTGCCTCGATCCGGCGCAACGTGACCCTCGTGCCCGACGACGACCATATCGATGACGCGCTCTACGAGAAGGTTCTTTCTGCGTGCTGCCTCGACGTCGACTTCTCATCGCAGCCGCTCGGCGACCGCACGCTCTTGAGCGAAGACGGCGCCAACTTGAGCGGCGGCCAGCGCCTCCGCGTCGGGCTTGCGCGCGCCTTGTACCAGCGCGCGGCCTTGTACCTCTTGGACGACTGCTTGAGCGGCCTCGACACATTGACGGCGACCAATGTGCTCTCGCGACTGCACACGGTGCTGCCAGACGATGCAGCGCTCGTGTTGGCGACGCACGCCGTCGGGCTTCTCGGTTCATTTCGCTGCAGCGCGATTCTGGTGCTCGACCAAGGCCGTATCGCCCAGCTCGGCACGTACGACGAGCTGGCTACAACAGGCACCTTTCACGCGCTGCTGCAGCACATACAAGGCAGCGACGCGCGTGCCAATGACTGCGTATCCGACGACGTTGCTATCACAGCGCACGAGGCCGAGGCGTCGGATGCGACCGAGACGGAAGAGCACCGCGAAAATGGCGCCGTGGCCGCCTCGGTACGCGTCGACACAAAGGACGGACGATGCATCTCCAATGATTGTAGGTGTGGCGACAGTACGCCTCGGCCATGGGCTGGCACGTCGCGCTTGGTCTCTTTCTGGCGGTCGTGGCCATGCAAGTGACGCGCAACGGACTCGACTACTGGGTCGCCTCGTACGTCTCGGGGCACGCGATGCCGGCCATGACGTTTGCGAATGGCCTCTTGATCCTCACCGGCGTCAACATTGCGGCGGTGGCGTGCCGCGCCTTCCTCTTTGCGTATGGCGGTCTCCGCGCTGCCAACCGCCTGTATGCGTCGCTCGTGCAGCACCTCTTCCACGCGCCACTGGCGTTCTTTCACGTCACACCGACGGGACGCATCTTGAACCGGCTCAGCGGCGACACGTACGGCGTCGACGAGTCGCTGCCGTTCATTCTCAACATTTGCATCAAAGACGCGGCCGAGATGCTCGGGACGCTGTGTATTCTGCTGCTGACGACGCCGCTCGTACTGCTGCTGCTGCTTCCGCTCTCGCTCGTCTACGGCCGCGTCCAGCAGTGGTATCGACCGACGTCGCGGCACGTGCGGCGCTTGGACGCCGTCGCGCAGTCGCCGCTGCTCATGCACTTTCACGCAACGCTAAACGGCCTCTCGGTGCTCCGTGGCCTGCAGTGCCACATGCGCTGGTACCACGAGTACCTCACGCTCCTCAACAACTCACAAAGGATGAGTTTTCTGAGTGCAAACGCGAGCGCGTGGTTTGGGCTGCGCCTCGACGCGCTTGGCGTCGTGCTCACGTCGGCCATCGGCGTCTACGCCGCCGTCATGTCGCACCTCGGGGCGCCCGTGCCGTCCGGGACTCTCGGCCTCCTCCTGATCTACGCGCTGCCGATCGTCGGCAAGTGCAACGCGATCCTCGGCAGCTTGATCGCGACCGAGCAAAACATGATTGCGGTCGAGCGTGTCCTGGAATACGCGTCGTTGCTGCCCGAAGTCGACGGCGCGTCGCCGATGCTGCCGACGTGGCCCAGCAACGGCGTCGTGCGCTATGACAACGTTCGAGTCGCGTATGGAGACGACAACCAAGCGGCGCTCGGTCCGCTCACGATATCACTCCGCGCCAAGGAGAAGGTGGGCATTTGCGGTCGCACGGGCGCCGGCAAGAGCTCGTTTCTGCACGCGCTCTTCCGCGCGATGCCGTACGCCGGCCGCATCACGATCGACAACGTGGACATCGCGTCCATGTCGCTCTCGACGCTCCGGAGTGCGCTCTGCTTCGTGCCACAAGAGGCGATGCTCTTCCGCGGCACGCTGCGCTCGAATCTCGATCCCTTCGGAGACGCCGACGACAGCGCGATTTGGGACGCGTTGCGGCGGTGCTGCCTCGACGCCGTCGTTCGGTCGTGGCCGCTCCAGCTCGAGACGCCAGTGACCGGCGACGACGACAAGCTAAGCCGCGGCCAAGCAGCGCTAATCAACATCGCGCGCGCCGTCTTGCGAAAATCCAAAGTCGTGTGCATCGACGAGGCAACGGCCAGCATCGACCACGCCACCGAAGCCATCGTCCAAGAGGTATATCTGTAGACAGTATATGTGCAGACGACGCTCTCCTATGTAGACGCTGCGCAGTGTCTTTGAGGACGCCACCGTGCTCACGGTCGCCCACCGCATGCATACGATCCTCAACTGCGACCGCGTCCTCGTGCTCGACCACGGCCACGTCGTCGAGTGGGACACCCCCGCGGCGCTTCTAAGTAACCCGGCGGGGCAGTTTACCAAGCTTGTCCAGCCTGCTGCCACGTCACCCAGTACCCTAAACACTGCAAATCGCTAAAAACAGAGTGTACATTCTGGATTGAAACGCCGGTTGTTGTCACCACACGTCTCTCCCGCCACGCGAGCAGCGACCTCTGCCACAGTCGAATACGATGGAGAAGGTTCCCGCGGCGCTGGTCCACGACGGCCTCCTTCCCTTTCTCGATGCGTCGTCGCTTGGACGGCTGGGCGCGACAAGCCGCTCGTGGCGCGACCAAGTGGCCTCGGCGCCTGCGTGGCGCACCTGCCTCCAGCGTCACTTTGGTGTCCATGTCGACGTCTATGGCGCGCGCGACCCGACGCTGTGGCAGCGCGTCATGGCCACCCTTGTCGCCGACGCCCGAAAGCTCCAGCACGCGGTGGTCGCCGACGACGTCCTCGTGATTGCAGCCGCGACAGCGCCGCTGCTACCCGCTTCGGGGGCGGCCATTCGCCAAGAGATCGTGCTCATGCAGGGCTTGCGCCGGTTCCCCACTGACGCGAACCTCATTGCCGCGTACGCCACCGCGATTCGGCAGCAGCTACTGCTTGTACAAATATAGACCCGTGTTGATTTTCCTACAAACTAGAGCGCTTACACGATGGCGTCGCCACTCGGGCCGTCGCCTTCCTCGAGCGTCTCGGGGTGGAAGTGGCAGACGTCCTCAAAGATGAGCTCTTGCAGCTTCTTGCGCGTGAGCTCGCAGTCTTCAAAGCTAAAGTCGAACGGCACCGGGCACGTCGTCTCGACCGACGCATCGCGCACTTGGGCCAAGTACGGATGCTCGAGCGCATCCTCAATCGAGATGCGCGTGCGCGGGTCAAAGCTCAGCATCTTCTCGAGGAGGTCGAGGCAGAGCGACGTGGCGCGCGGGTAGATCGACGAGAGCGGCACGCGCGGCTTCTTGGGTTGCCGCAAGATGAACCGCTTCGCCTTTGGGTTGGTGATAAAGTCGAGCTGCTCCTCTTCCGGCGACCCCACCACGTCCATGATGATCTTGAGCTGGTGGAGGTAGTCCTGGCCAGGAAAGAGCGGCCGCCGGCCAATCATCTCGGCCAAGATGCACCCGATCGCCCACACGTCCATGGGCTTGTCGTACTTGGACGAGAGGAGGAGCTCCGGCGCGCGGTACCAGCGCGTCACGACGTACTCGGTCAGACCGGCGTCGACACCGTTCACGCCGCGCGCGAGGCCAAAGTCGCAGAGCTTGACGTCGCAGTCCGAGTTGACCAGAATGTTGCTCGGCTTCAAATCGCGGTGCAGCACTTCGGCCGAGTGCACGTACTTGATCGCGACCAGCATCTGGTACAAAAAGTACTGAATGTGGTCGTCCGTGATCGACTGGTTCGAGTGAATCAC